CTTGAACGTGGCGGTTGTAATGCAGCTTCTACGATCAGAATCTCCGCCGTGGGCGACTACTGTACGCCTAGGGGAGGGATGAGCGGGTAGTCATTACAAGACAGTTGCGGTAGGCTGTAAGAGGCCATAGCTATAGGCAACAGCCCGGCGGTGTTAGTAGTTGGTGTCATGCAAGTATTACATCCAAGATGCAGCCAAGAAGCGGAATCAGTAAGAAAACTTGTTCGTGGGACACCAACGGTGGCAGTTGCTGATTACCATGTGCTAATAATTCAGTTAATGGCCCAAGACGTTTTCGGTAATGCCCGCGATTACACTTCACGCCGTCTCGAAGATCGGCCAGCAAGGAACTGATGTGAAGATTTCTAGACCAAAGTGGTAACATCATTACTATGCAAACACCAGTCAAAACCACTCTCGTAGGCAAATGCGAATGGACCAGGGCAATCCACAAAGAAGACAGTAGTACTGAGAACTTCAGGTCTAATAAGGCTCCTTGGCTTTAGTTGTCGAGCTACTGAAAATTAAGGTTACACAACACCGTCTTACTACGATTTCCTGAAATTCATACGGAGGCGTAGGGTAAGCAAGGGACTTGGGACTTACGTCGATTTCTGCCGTCGAAGAACTGGGCGGGCAGATATACTACGATTCCCAGCCGACGAGGCGAGGTCACAGCCTTCGCGGACTTTTGTGAGAACGAGTTCGGGGTCAACATGGCTGAGTGCAAACACCACCACGCGACACTTGTGCAGTTGGAAGGTAACACTGATGACGCCGCGAAGTCGGACAATCTGAGACTCGATTAACTTTAGATCGGCCTGCGAAAGAGAAGAGCCGCAAAAGTTTAAAACAATCGTTCCGGTTCGAAGTGAAGATGCTTAAATTTGAACTGAGTAGATTTTCTTGGAGGTCATAACAATGCGGCTTCGTGCACTCGATTGACGTGCATTCAGTTAACATGCCTTACGTGTGCTTCCATCTGGGAAGTCACGCTTCATTAAAGGGCGGCGAGGCGGTTTCCTGCAACTACGCGGTGATTTGATGGTCTGAGTGCCTTCTCAATCTGAGGCTGGTTTGGGCAGTCTAACAGACACCCGAGTCTGTGACTGCTATGATAGTACTCCAAAAATCAAACAAATGTTTGACATATTCCTGGATTGGCTTCTTGGCGGGGCCATGCCTTTTTGACCCCTCTCGACACCATGGAACTGCCTAGGCTGGTCTTCTTGGAAGTGTGGCGTGGTGGTGGTGCTACTTTCCCTTTTTGGGGGATCAGGATGATCATCCCTGCAGACACGGCAAGTCAGACTAAGACCAAAAAGCGAGAGGACTTAATCCATGGGACGATCTAACTCCTTCTCACGTTTGCTCACGTGAGCTGTGGTAAGGGGATGGTGTTGCACCGACGGTGACTGCTCAAACCAAGCTAAGGCGGAGTTAAGAAAAATCGCAAAAAAATCGAAATTAAAATTCTATCCAAATATGATTTCTCACAAATTCCATTATGCTAGATTCTTCACCCTCCAGCAAGCACCAAAATGTTTTACAATGGCAGCTCACCTCATTTATACTTCCAACTAACTGAACAATAATGGACTTCGGCCGTCTGTAGTCGAGTTTTCTGTGGCTTAGTTTTTTAAAAGGCAAAGAGGGCTGCATACTTTATTTCTTCGGATTTGCTGGCAAAAAGGATCCTCAGGAGACTTGTGGATGTATGACTTATGCGGGGGTCTCTAGTTTGAGCCTCTGACAGGTACTTCAGTTGCTCTTGTAGTCCGTAAAGTTTACGGAGAGCCGAGACTCCCCCGGGCTTTTTGACGAGCAGCAGGAATATCTGTGAAAGGTGAGCAGGGCAGTTTAGCGCTTACGTTCAGGATGTCCAAGACCATCGTGTCCGACTCATTTGACAATAATATTACGAGGCCGCTAAGGGAAGTGTTATCCTACACGTTTATATAACTTTAAAAATGCGAACGTTTAGCA